GTGGTGCTATTCTGGGTTTAGCAGATAGGAGGCGCCCTCCTGTTCTTAGTTTTTCACAAAAACATCCCTCTCTCTTAGTTGGACTTCACACCAGTTCCTCAAAACTACATTTCAGTTATGCTCTTTCCTAGTTTTCCACAGAAGTTGCATAGAGACCCTCATAGGTCACATCATTGATTTTAATTGGGAAAAAGACACACTTTGATTATTTTAAGGCTGAAAATACCCCTGAAATAATGCCCTTAAGGCATCAAAATACAAAGTTATCATCCACTAACTTTGGCTTTTTTATTGCTTGGCCCTAGATGTTGTACTGCCGAGCGTATGCTTTCCGAGATGAGACAGATGCTCCCCCTGAAGCCAAGCCTTCGAATATGACTTCAATAACTCCAGTCGGGGGCAATAATTTTGGGGCTTGGCCTATGGTTGCTGGGAGGATGACGCCGGGGCATCACCTTCAACAAAGTCCTTTGAGTGCCCATGACGGATGAGGGACTCGATCTCGTTCTTGGGCTCATAGTAGTCCTCGGTGTCATGGCCGATGCCGTGATGGTACTTGTTGTACTTGTTCGGGTTCCCCCCTTCTCGGGTTCCTCTTCAACTTGGTCGACCACTTCATGAATTCCTCCTTCCCTTCTTGCATTAGATTGTGCATTCGGGAGGAGTTTAGTGACGTGTACTTATTGAAGGAAGGGGCCAGTGGCTTCTTCTATCCACCTTTGCTTGTGGGACTGTCATTGCGGCCATTACTTTCCTTCCTCTTCTTGTCATTGGGCCCTCGGCTTCTAGTTCTTGGAGGTGCTTGTTGGATTCGGCCTCTTCAACAGCAATGTACTTTTGAACTTTCTTCAAGAACTTGACTTTGGTCTTGGGCAAAGTCTTGGAGATGGACCAACTGAGGGGTCCAGGCCGGAGGCCATTGATGGTCGTGTGCATAGAGACTGAGGGGTGTAGGTTCTTGAACTTGATTTCTTCCTAGTTGAACCTCTTCATATAATCCCAATGGCTCTCCCTACGCTTCTGCTTGATGGACATCATGTAGATGACAGTGTTTTTGCACATTCAGTTGCTCATGAAGTGGCCTAGGAACAGGTCCACAAACTGTTCCTAGGACACCAGGAGCCGATGGAGTGTTGAGAGGCAGTGTGGAGAATCATTAGTGTGCAGCTCCCTTGAATGTGGCTTGGAAGCCCTGGTACATGAGGGTGCCGAAGTACTCGTGTAGGAACATGAGGGTCTAGAAGCTTTCGAGGTGGTCCTCGGGGTTTGTGCTCCCGTCGTAGGTCTCCAATGTTGGGGCCTTGAAATTTGTAAGGAGGGGTTCAGAGAGAATGGCATCTACGAACACCTTCATTCAGCTGGATGAGGTAGGGCAACGGGTGGAGGTGTCACCTTGGCCCTCCTTTACCTATCAAAGCTGGTCCTGGCAGGCGCCAATTTGTGCTTTAATGTCTCCGAGGCGCTCATTGAGGAGTGGCTAGCCTTGTTCCCAAAGTTCTCGAATGCTGGGAGGGGCCAGCCTTGTTCCCAAAGCTCTTGAATGCCGGCATGTCCAGAGCCTTTCGAGTGTAGCGATCATTGAGGAGGTCATGGAGGTTGGAAACTGGTGAGGGAGAGACGTGGCATCAACCTCCCACCCTTGGAGGGGGGCTGTGGTGGTCTGAGTGCTCTTCGTCGTCCAGATTGGTCGCAATGCAATGATGCTGATAGTTGCGATTCTTGTGATCGGCATGGGATCCTACAGGGTCGCCCACTTGGCTGGGGAGCCAAGGCGTTTTGGAACGGTGCTTGCTAACCCGTTGGTTGCTGCTATCGGAGCCTGAGGGGTCGGCCTCTTCTGGGCCCCCTATGTGTTGGCTTAGCGGTGTATGGGCAAATCGCCCTCCACGTTGCTCGTGGCTTCCGTTGGGTTGACGAACCTATGGGTGGCTTCCTATCGGGTGCCCTATGTTGTGTAATTGCTGGTCCAAGTTGTCTAGCCTACTTGGGACTAGCTCAAACTGGTCGATTGGGACTAAGTTTCGAACGTTAGGGACGAGGTATTGCTAGTTAGCCATTTTAGGGGCGTTAGTCGATTAAGTTAGATTAGTTTTTTCTTGAGGGAAAGTTTTTAAGGCATTTCCCACAGACGATGCCAATTGTTGCTGCCAAATATGGAGTCAAGGGCAGCAACATAATTTCTTGCGTCTGAGGTCGACGGGTCCAACCTACTGAGAGAAAGAAGACGTCAAAGTTACTGGGAGTTATCACAAAGGCGGAGAGTCCGATGGTCAAGTAAGTTGAGAGTTGTGAGGGGTCAGACCAAGTAAGAGAGGAGACTTAGAGTTTAAGTTCCAATGTGTGTTAGTTCAATGTGGAATCCCCTTTTTATTGCCAGAGTTGCCTCCGATGTCACATGTCAAGATCTACTGGTCGACCGAGATGCATTTTGCCGATGCCACATGTCAAGATCTACGAGTCGACCGAATACCACTATATTACCACGTATATGTAGGAGATCAAGATGTGATTAAGTTATTACCTCATTAATAATTATTGTGACATTTGGAATCTTATATTATATGTTGTTGATGATGAGGGAACCTTTCTTCTAAACACTTGCATTGAAAACCCTAATTTTAATGCCCATGTAGCAACAAGGAGACGGCCAGATCCTTTGAACCGAACCATATGCACATCCGTGAATATGGGAGTCATTTATTTCCTGGTAGGCCGTGCTTTCGACAGGATACATTTCATGTGTGAAACTTCAAGAAAAGGGCTCATACAACCTATATGATATGTGGAATGTGTAACTCCTAAATGTAGGATGGTGGAAGGCTGGAAGCATTTAAGAGATGATTTTATTGTTGAAAGAAACTCAAAAAAGGTTGCATGGAGTTTACTAACCAAAAGGAAAAGGGTGAGCAATATAAATTGAATGATAAACAAAACACACAGGTGATATTTGTATTTTACATGTTTTATGTTTTCATTTATTTTTTAAATCACCCCATCAGGAAAAGAAACAAAAATGAAAACATGTTCTTGATCTGTTTTTTTTTTTTTAATAAGCAAATATAAGTTGGTTTGTTATAATTAAAAATATAAATCATGTTTTTGAAACCTAAAAAATGATGGTTTAAAATATCATCAAATGAAAACATGTTCTTTAATAAAAAATTCAAAAGCATGTCATTAATTGGCAAAAATATATAAAAACAAGAACATATTTTCAATTCTTTTGCTTTAAGAACCAATGTGTTTTCAAACCAGATTGCTTCTATTTATTTTGGAAATCACAACAAGTTCATATCTAAGAGCACCCCTGAATTTCCGTATTTGTCTAAAGGAAAAACGAGTCCGCGTTCTGTGCATCCACGGGTGCGCTTGAACCCACCAATAAAAATGCAACACGTGGGGTTTTCAAATCTTTAAAATCGTTAATGGGTGTTCAGCCGTTAGCCGAAGAAACCCGATTGAATCACCCATAATAGAAGAAAAAAATATTTAAAGGATTTCATTCGAACCCGGTTGGATTGAATGTTGAATTCTATTAATAAATTGTATACATTCAAATTTCAAACTAATTTTAGAAATAGAAATATATTATTTTTTTTTCTGAAGATAATAATAAATAAAAAATTTAAATATTATGAAGAAAGGATTGAATCAAATCGGATCGGCTTGATCAAATTGGATTCAAATTCAAATCCAAGAAATTAATCAGATTTGGATTTGTAGCCCCAAGAATGCATAAAGTCGTATTTAAATAAGCAATATGAATAAGTTATGTCATTAAGCTACTGTTTAATTGGTGGTTAGTTTTATATTAAAGCCTTATCTGTTTGAAGTGAAGATTCAAAAGCATGGCCAACTTTTGGTTTAATTTGGTCATAGGTCTTGCTTTGTTTTTGTTTATTTATAGTAAGATGAAGTAAAATAAAGCCTGAAGAATAAAAATGATCCAAAATTTACCATCATTTCATCTGCACTACCATGCATTTGTAATAGTGCAAAGTAAGTTGCACCGCAAACAGATATAGGGAAGGTGGCATTTTTATGGTATAATTTAGTCCTTGGAGGCCGTGAGACCAGTTCCATATTCGAATGTTGACATGGGGAAATGGGGATCAGGTGGGTTTTAGGATTGTGAAAAGTGAAAAACCAGGTCTAGATTCTGGTCCTGTTCATCAGCTTAGCATCCCCCCCCTAGAAAATGAAATTGCTTAAAACCCAAAACCCAGTCAACGGAGCCGCGGAGGAAAACATGGTCTCTTGGATTATTAGTTGAAGGAGTCTTCCACGTGACACAGACGAGAAAAAACAAGTGGACAGCACAGCACACGGAAAAAAAGAAAAAGCGAGAGTGAGAGAGAAAAATAACGAGAGATAATATAAAATTAATAAAAAAAAGAAAATGAATGGATGGGAAGAGTCCGAAAGAGGGAAAAGACCTAACGGTCCTCTATCGCTCCGTCATAGATCTTATCACCATCTCCGTCTATTTTCGGTTTCTTTTTTTTTTGTTTATATTTGTATTTATTAATTAATTAAGAAACTTTATTATAAAGAAGGAAAATATATTTTATAATGCGGAAGGAAGGAAAGAGCGGGGTTACGCTAAAACCGATGCTCGTTTCTTTTCTCGCGGGAGGCACCGCCTGCATGAGCTGATAGATAATTCACAAAAATATAAAAAACAAATAAAAAGCGATTGGGCGAGTGGAGAGAGAGAGAGAGCGCTCTCGAGGCTTGCGGGTTTTGCCTCCACTTCCTGGTTTGTCCAATTCCGTAATGTTGCTGTCTTTTTCTTTATTCATTTAATTAACTAATTATTTAATTTTTTTTCTATTATGCTTATCACCGCTCTATAAATCCCACAACTTCTCCTACTTCTTCCTTCTTTGTCCTTGCCGACCTCGCCGTATTTTATTCTTTCTTCTTTTTTTTTCATTTTTTTTCTTTCATTTCCCCCCTTCTCTCTCTCATACAGTGTTAACTCAGCTCAGGTACAGTAAATCTCTCTCTATCTGCGGTTCTGATGTTTCCTCTTGCTCGACTATGGATGAATTCCTCTTCTTTCTTTATGAAGATTTTTTTTTTCTGATAATTATCTTCTTGAGCGTGCAAATCTCTAATTCCACTTCTCGAGTGTTTTTTTTGCTGGGTTTAGATGGCTAGATATCTGATTTAGAGGATTTTGGGCTTCTCTTTGTGGGTTTTTATCTTTGATTTTTCGTCTCTTGGCTTTTCTTTGCTGTTAGTTTGTTCCGGTGAGCTGATTCTGCGGGCGTTTGCGATGTTTATTATTATTTTTTACAATAATTTCTTTATAGGTGGGAAAACTTACTGGGTCTTAGATCTGTAGGAACTTTTGTTGTTCCTGCCGTTTTTATCGCAATCTCCTTGATTTTTTCTCGCTTTTGTCTATGGAATTACGTTGATATGGTCTAGAACTCCGCTTCTTAGCTTGGATCCCGTTCGAAACATGGCAAATATCTTGTCTTTGTGGCCATATTTTTCTCCTTATCTTCGGATCTTCTGCACCGCCATGGATTCTCGTCTAAAATTCTTCTGTTTTCCTCTTTACAGGCGTTCCTCTGCGTATCCCAAACAAACGGTGAAGATGAATCGATGCGGTCTTCAGAGCGCCTTCGCATCCTGTGACGAGAGGAGCCCCTTCTCCTTCTCCGATCGTAAGGATCCCGTCGTTTGCCCGAAGCCTCGCAGACTCGGTCTCTTGAATCATGCCATCAATGACTCAATCAGACCTTTGAGATGGCAGCCCAGGTAAAAATTTCTTTCGGACCTGGATCCTTTCTTTTCCCTCTGGATCCTACATCTTAAACCTCGTTCAAATTCGTATTTTTTTATAAAGTCTCTGTTTTCTTTTCCGCGACAGCAGTCAACCGGAGTTTTGCGAGTCGAAGGCTGGGACTGAGCTCCTAGATATCATACTTACAAAGGTGTGCCTCTTCTTGTTTTTTGTTTCTTCTTTGGCAGTTGTCTCTGTAATTAAATCATGGTATCATCAGTCATCACATTAGCATGGGCTACGGCGAGAAAGACTTGTCTAAAACAGAAAAGGAAAAACAAACAAAAAACAGTTTTGTAAGTCTCCTGTGTTCTTTTAATCGAGTAAGGTACAGACCAGTTGCCGTAGCCCGTAGATGATATGTTCTAGAAATTAATTATTGAGTATTAATTTATGTTGGTGTTCGTTTTGGTTCATTAAACAACTACTTGCTTTGTTCTACAGGGTTGTTATGGTGCAGATCAATCGGTGACCCAGGTGGCCTCATCACCCCCGTTTTTCTGTGGGTCTCCACCAAGCCGGGCAGCTAACCCACTAATCCAAGACGCCCGTTTTGGGGATGACAAGTTCACCTCGGTAGCACCGGTTCCTGTCCCAGTCCCAGTCCCAGTTCCGTCGGGTCTCTCGTCGTCCCCGTCCTCTTCCACCCGTAAGGGAGGATGTGTTCGGTCAACGTTCGGGAACAAGCCGGCGGTGAGAATAGAGGGTTTCGACTGCCTCGACAGGGATAGGCGAAACTGCAGCATCCCAGCCGTTGCTTAGAGACCCTCTCGACGTTTCAGTACATAGAAGAAGAGAAAGGAAAAACCAGTACACATCAACTACTTTGCTTTTTATTTTTTTCAAGGCAGTGAAGAGGATCTAATCGGAATTTTCAAGGAGAGACGGACAGAGACGGAGACAGAGATGTGCGGGGAGGGAAATTCTGTTATTACTGTAAATATGTTTTCCTCGATCAATCTTCATTCTTAGGATGATGATGATAAATCTCTTTATGTAAAGAGGAAGGATGTATGTATGTAGATGTGGATCAAACAACAAATAAAGAAGAGTAGAGAGGAATGCAAAAAACAAACCCTTCTCTTCCTTCTTGTTGTTACTCTGTTAATTTGAAGTAGGTTTAGATTGGAAATGAAGATTGCGAGAGGTTAGGGGTTTTCTTGGGGGTGAGTGGTGAGAGGATCGAGTGAGCTATGATGATCATCTGTGTATCTGCGTCTTTCTTGCTTTGTGTAAAATGTTTCAAGGAGAGGAGGAAGATGAGGAGTCGTTACTCTTGATCTTTGTTTGCGGTGTCGAGAGAAGAATCTTTGTAAAGGAAAATCTTAATTATCGAGTCTGAAGTGTCATTTTTACTACCCATGTAAATATATTGCTTTTTTGGTGGTTATTATTGTCATTTCACTAGTTCCCCTCTCTCTCTCTCTCTCTCTTTGTACCTTATTTCCAGAGTTTGTTTGTTTATTTGCTTGGGGCCTCGGATATGCTACCACTTGCTGTTCGCCTGTTCCCACCTCCCTACGCACTGGCTTCCCATTGGGAATATCTCCCCGTCATTCAAGGAGAGATTTTTTTATAGACGGAGACGGTGTTTCGTGGGTTGAAAACAGATTGCGGGCAGCACAGATTCAGTGGTCAAATTGCACCCATAGGCGCTCATTGTATTCGGTTGGGGGCCCATTGGGATTCAGTATGCTATACCACTTTTATTGTGACTTAACTGGTTGACGTGGTGTCCGTAGGTATTTTTTTCGAGGGCTTGCCTGCGCAGGGTTAAAACCGAATATCAGGTTCTTTGATGTATTACTGTGGTTTCATCAGGACGTCATTTCATCTAATTCAATGTGAGACCATAACAAGATATCAAAGTCATTGATTTTGTTGTTTCGGCGCACGGTTACATAGCAAATGTGGTTTGCTTATAATTCGCCCAATGTTCACCAGTTGTCACGTATATGAAGCCAAATATGATCAGTTTGGCATGTATATATGCGGCCAAAATATGGTGGTGGGAACAAGGGTTTCTTCCATGATATTTCTCACCGTCGGATTTTTTTTTTTTTTTTTTTGCTGCAACTCACCGTAAGGGATTTGAGTATTGACAAACAGATAAGTACTGGTACCATGGTTTTTGAAAACCGGACTGGACGGTCGGACCGGTTGATCTGAGAATGGTTATGGCTTTGGTTCAGATGGCCTGACCATTTGACCTAGGAATCTGTGGCCCAAAATGGTTTTATTTCTAAATCTATGCTGGTTAATAAGTGAACAAGAAGGGTGCGAGTATGGATGCTATCGATCATGGTTTAAATAAAACGGTCCAACCATCTGGTTTGAAACCTAATCAAACGATTTTGGGGTCTATAACCAAACCTGGAGCCATGGTCGATTCCCAGGGCAACCAGTCCGACTGGCTGTTCTTATTTTCAAAACCATGCGTGTTTTTCACAACATAGTCTACCATGAATGGAGATCTCAGTCATAGTCGTGGCATTTTTAAGGGGGGTGTGACCGGTGAGATCGGCTTCTATCAGGGCAAATCTGTGCATATACCATTCCAAGTATAGAGAATATCTCCTCATGAAATAAAGCACTTAAATAGGAAGATATTGTCAATACGAGGCAATAAAAGCTGATTGAATGAGGTTTGCCCTGACAGAAACTGAATTTGTGATGGGTGTCAGTTGAGTGAGGAATCAAAATAGCAGGGGAGATGTACAAAGCTGTGCGAACAGGAACAGCCAAGGAGGATGACATACAATTGTATATTGAAAACATTTTTCCATGAATTAAACATACAATTTATGATGGAATTTAAAGAGATCTGGCTTGAACAGCGCAAAAGATCACGGAAGGTTTGGAATAGCTGCCTTTCAAGTTTCAACCATATACAGGGCTTTCCACCAGAGTCGACCTCAACATCCATGGCAGCCGTGAACATCTCATCGTGATGGACAAGAAAGATATTCAAATGAACAACTGCAATGACTATTTGTCACGGGGCTAGTTCTACAGCGGAAGAAACCCGTGCGGCGTTCTGGCTAAGGCAGGCCAGGACAAGCCTTTATGCGTTTAGAGGCTAGGAGTCGCCCGATGGGATGGCTCCACCAAAGTCAGTAGCACTGGATCATGACCTCAAGTCCAATGGCCGGGGCACTCTCCTGGCTCAGACCGGTCCATG